CACTTGCCTGCTAACCAGATGGCTGGCGGTTCAAACCCACCAGCCACTCCTCGGAAGGAAGGTTGGGCAATCCTACTTCCGTAGTGATACTGCCTCGGTAACCCAAGGAGGGGTCGCTATGAGTCGGGGCCGACTCGACGGCAAATAACAACAACAACAACATATGCGTAAGTACATATGTGTATGTGTCCATATATATTTATGTGTGTGCCCATGTATGTATATACAGGCATTCCCTGGGTTATGATCGAGAACCATTCCTGTGTCTTTAAAAATTTGTAGGTATGTCAGAACAGATACACACAGTTCTCATTTAGCCTCACTTCAGTGCTGGAGAAAGATGAGGCAGTCTACTTCCACAAAGATTCACAACCTCAGAAATGCTATGGAGCACGTCTACTCTGTCTTGTAGCTTCTCCATGAGTCAGAGTCAACTCCATGCTAATGGGTTTGGTTTGGATTTTGGTGCAAGAAAAGGCTCAAAGCCTCTTCAGTAATTTCAAAGCTGTGTGTGCAGCAAGTGACGGCGACTGTGATGAAGAATCTGAGTAGCAGTTGGTTCAATTGTTTCAAGGTGAGGGCAGATTTATGTAACATTAAGGGGCAAGTACAGGCTGTCCTTGAATCAAACGTTTTTAACCCGGGATTTACTGTACATGTGGTATGCATCTACTGACGTACATGGGTGTATGCATATACACATAAGTCCCCCAACACACACACAGGTTCTGTTTCTCTGGAGAACCCTGACTGATTTCCTACTGATTCTCAAGTAGAATACGCTTGAATGAAAGAGTAAAATGCAGACACACCTTTTCTGCCTCAAAGTGTTTATCTGCAAAGCAAACACACATATTTACAAGCTCCCAGGAGGCGATCGGTGTGAGTCATGCCGTGAAAAAGGCCTTTCAATTGTAATGGGAAATACAGCCAGGGCCAATGTTCAAAGATGTCTGAGAGCTGGAAAAAATCCACTGGACATGAAGTAAGAACGTTCAGGGATAATCTTCACTGGGTTTATGGGAATAGATTAGCCAGTCTATCCTGGATAATCAAATATAACCAATATATCAGCACACAAATGACCACATTTTCCAAACAAGGCTGAAAAGCACATCCCAGGCTAAATATTTGAGCCCCTTAATCTTAAAATCATAAGACAGAGTTGATGAAAACACCCACGATAATAAGCAATTTCAATCTGTTGGTTTTTTTTTTTTTTTTTTTCCTGGCAATGGCTTTATCCTTTGTTGTTTCTGTTTTTCAAAAGATAAAGTATTCAGTCACTTGAGCATCCATGGAGAGTTTCTGGCAGCACAAAGATCGCACAAAAGCTAATCTTCACAGAAACAT